GACTGTTGATGTAAGGAGAGTAGCAGCAGTAATAATAATAATAATAACAAAATTGTATGGGAGAGAGACTTTAAGGACTTGGCATAAAAAGGGGTCTTTTGACTGAAATATTTTACAGAATCACAGAATCTTCTAGGTTGGAAGGGACCTTAAAGATCATCTTGTCCAACCGTCAACCTAATTTTGACAAAAATAGACACCCACACAACAAACAAGAAGCATCATCACTAAACTATACCTCCCAGCACTACATCAACCCGTCTTTTGGACACCTCCAGGGATGGGGCCTCAACCCCCTCCCTGGGCAGCCCATTACAATGCCTGAGAACCCTTTTAGTGAAAAAATTTTCCCTAATATCCAGCCTGAAACCACACACCCACCCCCCGTATGTTATTTCACGCTTTATCTCGTTTTCAGTGCTTGTTTTTGGAGGAACCGCCAAGAGAAATAGGAACCGCGATCCAAAGCGATTTACTCTTTGGGTATTTTTTTTCCTGTGGGGCCAGTTTCGCAGGAAAGTGCCTATAGAAGGGGGTGGGGGGGTCTGGAGAGACCCCGAAACGGCCGTTCCCCCGGGGAAGGGGCTGAGCCCCGGGAGCTCTCCGCGGTGCTGAAAGGCGGAGGGGGGGAGCTCTCCGCGGTGCTGAAAGTCACCGCGGACGGCGGCCACGACTCCCGAGCGCTAACTTTTAATTATATCAACCCCACGTGCATTAAAATTAAACAGGCACCGAACTGGCGATGGGGTAAGGGGATGGGAGGGGGTTGTGGGAGGGTGGGGGGATTCTATATTGCTTAGTTATCTCCTTGTTTTGCTGCTCCTCGGGAGAAAGTTGAGCCTCGCCCCGGGCTCAGGGTCCTTCTGGTTCTATTTTTAAAAAAGCAGCGACTTGGAGCACTTCCCCGCGCTCCATTTCCCCCCTCTCCGCCTCCCGCAATACGCTGAACTTGCAGGCTTCAAACTGCTGGGGAAAGTGAGTCCCGGAGCCAAAACGGCAATGCAGCCCCCCCCTGACTAGAGCGAGGCCTGAGAGCGCCATAATGAAGTTATTATTATTTTATTAGGGGTTCTTATGATAAAACGCTCTCTCTCTCGCTCACTCTCACTCTCTTCCCGACGTCAGAGAAAAAAGGAAAAGGCACATCTGTCTCTTTGCAAAGGGATCCTGCATTTCTGGCCCTGCGTGGATTTTAAAGCTGGGGGCAGCGAGGGAGATCCAGACAGTACCCTCTGGGTTATGTGCTTCTTTTTAAGGTTAATTGACCTAAAGCTTGTGCTGCTATTTTAAGGATTCAGAGCACTGGTCCTGCCTCTCGCACAGAGCTGTAAAAGCCGACTCAATTCACAGTACACTTTGCTGTTCAGAGCCTTGTCTGGATGGTAAGTCAGTGGCTGCTGTCAAACAGCAATAGCCCTAAGAGCCTTTATGTATGTAAATATACATGTAAATACATATACATGTAAATATATATATATATGTCTGTATATATATAACAACATGTCTGAATGCAGCTTGCTAAATCCATCACTAATATGCTAAAATTATAGGTAAATGGGTATGATCAGATCAAATTAATGTGGATCTCGGGTACAATTAATTTTTGCCTTGCTTTGCTAAAATAATGCTTCACGGGGCTGAAATGTAACTTCAGCTTGAATATACATTAGGGGAAATTCCGTATCTATGCCTGGAGTGAAAGGCAGACAGAGCAGGAGATATTTCTCGGGCTTATTAGTCTTTATTTAATGACATTCGTACATGCAGGATAACTTTCCAAAGACATCCTCTCTTCCAAATCTCGATTTCTGCACCTGTGCCGTCTGTATCCATCTCCTTTGCTCCGGTATGAACGTGCTATGTCTTTTTAAACTCCCATCAGATCTAAGAGAGCCTGTGTAGATTTGCTCGCCCTTCCAGCACAGAACATTACAATGTTTATAAAATATTAAATTTGTGTAGTCTGCCGGAGAAGCAATTGTTCCAAAATAAAATCAGCAGTCTAGACGAAACATAGACACCAGAACTTATCAACAGTTGTCTGACTTACATCTTCTGATGCATCTTGAGTGGGTCATAATACCAACTTTATTTTCAGTGGTGCATAAATTAATTACACGCATTTAATAACCAAAATATCATTATATTCCCCCTTTAATATCATAAAGGCTTTACGCCAGGGAAGCACTTAATGTGCAGGGGGCCATAACAGGCTATTATCCTTGTGTAATGCTATTACAGAACCAATTATGCGCCATTATACTTGCTTTTTTTGCAGTTTATGTGATTTGATCCAATCCCGCGTCCCTGACTCGAAAATTTCATCTGGGTACTTTAAAGTCTAATTTTCACCCGGGCTGAGGGAAGGGGCCATCTCTCTCCGCTGAGCCCCCGCGTCTCGGATGCGTTTTAAAAGTAATTGCGGAGGGTCCCGCCGCACATCATTCGCAGACGGGAACCGGCCATAAATCCGGAGACCCCTCGCTGTGAACAAAATCAAACTTTGCCGTCGGTGCGAGCGCTTGGAGAAAAAAAAAGGCAAAGCGTTTGCAGAGCGACCCCCCCAAAACCCCACCGGGGCGGCGGGGGGGGGG